CACACCATCCTTGCTTATGACATTCTGCTTCAACTTTAATCTATCTAAAAAGTGAAATGTTAAGTATTTAAAAGTATTAATATAGTGATAATTAAATACTGCAGGATGTAACGAGTGTTACAGAAACATGGGCTGGCTACCTAACTTGTGACGTCATCAGTGGGGGTTGCCTCACACAAATAATGATACGCTGCTCTGCCCTCTTATTCCAGTAAATTATTCAGTTAGATGGAGATTTCTGTCAGGTGCAAAACAGAAATTGTTGCTCTTTTTCACAACAACCTTGTTGTTGTGCACAAGGACCTATTTCTTAGTTTAAATTTTATTCATAAATGAGTGTTGATATTCCCCGCAACAGCCAATCACAGGAAGGTATCTCTGGAAGCTCCGCCTCCTTATGGACCCAGCACATCGCTTGAGCTCATGGCTCTATGTTTCATCTCTTGTATATACAAACTAGACCATAAAATGGCCATATAAGTTTCATACATAGGCTCGTGTAAGTACCATTGATATGCCCATATAAGTATCATACATATGCCCTTCTAAGTACCATAGATATGTCCTTGTAAGTATCATGTATGTGTCTTTTTAAGTACCATACATATGCCTTTATAAGTACCATACATATGCCAATATTAGTATCATATATGCCTTTATAAAATTAGTATTTTTCATGTCTTTATATGTGCTATACATATGTCTGTATAAGCACCATCATATGTCTTTATAAGTACCGTATGATGTCATTATAAGTACCATACATATGCCATTATAAGTGCCATACATATGCCATTACAAGCATCATACATGTCTTTATAAGAACCATACGTATGTCTTTACAAGTACCGTACTTATGACTTTATAAGTACCATACATATGCCATTATAGGTACCATACATTTGCTATTATAAGTACAACACATATGCCATTATCAGTACCATATGTTTCCTATTATAAGTACCACACATATGCCATTATAAGCACGATACATAACCCTTATAAGTACCATACATATGCAGTTATAAGTACCATACATATGCTGTTATAAGTACCATACATATGCCCATATAAGTACCATTCAAAATACTATCTAAGTGAAGGAATATTCTAGAAATCACTTAATTTTCATTACCCATTTTTTATTCAGCTCTTTATTATTATTATTACATGTTTTTCAACTCATTTTTCTTAATAATATGTTGAGAAAACACGATGAAATTTTTGATATTTGAGATGGCCGTATCTCGGTAAATATGGGTGTAAAGGCCTTCATATTGAAAATTAGCAAAGAAAGCCTTTACAGAAAGAAATATAAATTGCTGTGGTAAACACAATGGTACCATTTTCAAAGCGATTCTATGGCTAGTTTTGATTTTGAGTTTTGAGAAAAATGACGGTTTCGCCCGGGCTGCGATTCTTTCCTGGCAAAAGGCTGTGTGGCAGAAAATGTAAGCTGGTCGCCAAAGTGACGTACTGTCCCGTTTTCTGATTTGGGTCCTCTGGTAGGTTAGGAGAGGACACCTTAAATTGACCTTTTCTTGACGTTGGGAACCTTAGGAGGACGGGCTGAGTTAATTACTATACATATGACCATATAGGTACCATTCTCATGCCCATATAAGTACCATACACGTAACAATATATGTACCATACACATGACCATAAAATGGCCATATAAGTATTATACATAGACTCGTGTAAGTACCATTGATATGCCCATATAAGTATCATACAAATGCCCTTCTAAGTACCATAGATATTCCTTGTAAGTATCATGTATGTGTCTTTATAAGTACCAAACATATGCCTTTATAAGTACCATACATATGCCAATATAAGTATCATACATATCTTTATAAGTTCAGTACTTTTCATAACTTTATGAGTACTATACATATGACTTTATAAGGACTATCATATGTCTTTATAAGTACCATATGATGTCATTATAAGTACCATACATATGCCATTATAAGTGCCGTACACATGCCATTACAAGTTTCATACAAGTCATTATAAGAACTATACGTATGTCTTTACAAGTACCGTACTTATGACTTTATAAGTACCATACATATGCCATTATAGGTACCATACATTTGCTATTATAAGTACCACACATATGGCATTATAAGTACCATATATTTCCTATTATAAGTACCAAACCTATACCATAATAAGCACGATACATATGTCATATAAGTACCATACATATGCTGTCATAAGTACCATACATATGCCCATATAAGTACCATTCAAAATACTCTCTAAGTAAAGGAATATTCTAGAAATTACTTAATTTTCATTACCCATTTTTTATTCAGCTCTTTATTATTATTATTACATGTTTTTCAACTCATTTTTCTTAATAATATGTTGAGAAAACACGATGAAATTTTTGATATTTGAGATGGCCGTATCTCGGTAAATATGGGTGTAAAGGCCTTAATATTGAAAATTAGCAAAGAAAGCCTTTACAGGCCTGTAGCGAGTTAATCTTATACTTGCTCCAATATTCTTAACTTATTATCAACTTCTATTGTCTGGTTATGGTCATAATAGCGTCTTGAAATTGAAATAAGTTTATTGAGGTAAAATACACACAAAGGGATGAGGTAGCTCAAGCTATTCTCACCCCGTTCAGTACATCGTGTTAATACATACAAAATAATAGTGTCTTGGAAGACGAAAACAGCAGCGAACACAAGCCAGCGCATATGTATATACGAAATGGTTCGTGTACACAAACTTGATGTGTACACGAGCGATGTGCTGAGTCCATAAGGAGGCGGAGCTTCCAGAGATACCTTCCTGTGATTGGCTGTTGCGGGGAATACCAACACTCTTTTATGAATAAAATTTATACTAAGAAATAGGTCCTTGCATGGGCACAACAACAAGGTTGTTGTGAAAAAGAACAACAATTTCTGTTTTGCACCTGACAGAAATCTCCATCTAACTGAATAATTTACTCCAATAAGAGGGCAGAGCAGCGTATCATTATTTGTGTGAGGCAACCCCCATTGATGACGTCACAAGTTAGGTAGCCAGCCCATGTTTCTGTAACACCCGTTACGTCCTGCAGTATTTAATTATCACTATATTAATACTTTTAAATACTTAACATTTCACTTTTTAGATAGATTAAAGTTGAAGCAAAATGTCATAAGCATCGATGGTGTGCTGAATAAAGATGATTTATTAAGTGGATGGAGCCTTTAGCTGATCCCTTCCTGTGATTGGCTGTTGTGTGAATGTCAACAAAGAGTTTCTACCAATGATATGCAATTTATTATGCACCCCATACCATCTTGGGGCGGAGCTAGGAACCTCCTACCCGAGCACAACAACCCGCCTTATGGGTTGCTGTTTGGCTATTTATAGTGCGTTGGAAAAAACAGAGATGGCGTTAGTTGTATTTTGTGGGGTAATTTGTTATAAGTGTAACTTGATGTCAACAGATGGCGTAAGCTGTATCTTATGGCTACTATTGACCTGCCAGTTGATAGTGTTCTCTTTTGTCGACAGATAACATCAGCTGTGTTATTATTATTTTAATAATATTATTACATTAATAATAATGTATTATTATTACTTTAAACACTGATCTATACGTCTGGTAGCTTATAATAAGGTCCTAAATAAGCTTTCGGTCCATCCTGGACCATTCTCAAGTCGATCTTGAGAATAGTCCAGGACAGACCGAAACGTCGTCGTCCCTTCATTTTGTAGTGTGTAGATTGGTCAACATCTTATGCCAGTTCTTTTGACTTGGAATTGAATTAGATACACACCTGGGGCTTTTGTCTTTTTGTGTGTTGATGCATTTCCAGATTGTTGCATGTTATAGGTATATGCCTAATTCATTCTCTTTATCTCCTTCAAACATTGGTGTAGGTGATGGAATGTTGTCTAATTTGTCGAGTGAGAATATTGATGCGAAGTATTCAGTGATTTAATACTTTATTTATTATCCATTATAACTTGGCTAATCTGATCTTTTAAGGGTCCTACCAAGTCTTTTGTTTTGGTTTTAGTTCTTATTTAGGCATAGAACAATTTTGGATCATTCTTCAGGTTTTGGACAAGTTTTCTTTCATAGTTTTTCTTGGCTGACCTGATTTCCTGGGTGGCTGAATTTAGTGCCCTTTTATATGGGCAAGATCATTACATTAGTTATCCTTATTGAATCTAATCTATTTAACATATGTACCTAGTGACATCCAATTATAGGGGAGCAACAGGATTTTTTTTCTACCAATCTTGGTAATTTGACCATTTAACTAAATAATGCACAACTGAGCATACCAAAATTGTTAATGAGGGTCAGGTTTTCTTTTCATCAAATGACCAAGTGTTAATATAATATTCCCAATACATACACAGACTAAAGAAGATAACCACTTTGATTCACATGACAATGGAAGGCCATTCAGAAATAATGAGTTTAGCAAAGTGCAGTTTATCATCCTACATAGCAATCCAGTTCTCCATTTAAATATAACAAAATATATTATTGGTTATTACAGCAATACGTGATAAATACTTCAGGTAATGAGGATACTTTTGAATGACTTACTCATCGACCAAATTATATTTTTGCCGTTTTTCTGCCATGTTCCCCTCTTTTTTTTATTTTTTTATTTTTCTCAACACATTATATACTTTAATCTCAATTAGTATTAAGTTTTAGTCTTTAATGTTTTTCCTGCCCGAAACACTTTGCATAAGTGGCTTTAGGCATTTTATGTATTAGCTCTATCTATAAATTCAGCAATATTTGTATCACCCCTTGTATGTATATTACCTGAATAAACATTTGAATTTTGATTTTGATTCAAAGCCAAGACATGCTCTGGTCCCGACTATGTCCAGTGTTTTATTCAACTTTAAGAACCATTTTAGTTTGATGTTTAATTACCATTATCTAGTACTTGAAAAGTCTTTACAATGATAATTTCAAGTGCACAATATCTTTGGTATAATAATAAGTATTACAACTTTGTAGTTTTATTTAAGTGAGCACATTATCAAGAATGAAGTAAAATAAGCATGACTAATGCAGACTCACTTGGTCTAGTCTCCAGTGTGTACACTAACATTACTGTGTTAAGGCAGCAGTATCATTTGTATGTTTAACAATGCTGAAAATGTAGCAATGCCTAGTAGTTGGAGGAAAGTGTAGCCAGATGTATTACTATCTACAGTATATAGATTATCTTATATAGTTGGGACATCTTCATTTATTAAATGCCATCAAATCTTTATTCAGAACCAGAATGCAAGCATATCACTAATTGCATTGGAGAACTTAATACAATGCCATAGTGCTTGAATGAAGGTGAAGGAAAGACCCAATAAATGTTGTACAGAATTAAAAAAATTTTGTATGTAACCTACATGCTTCCTCAAGGTTCTGTATACAATGTTCTGAATATTGTACATGATCTTGAGAAAGGATGTCGGTTACATAAAAAAAAAAAAAAAATTGGAGTTTTAATACATTTATACATATATTGGATCTTTCCATCACCTTCACTAATTGCATTACTAATGCCAAGAATGTTGGAGATGAATACAGTAATTTCAGTCATGTCCTGTGTTGATAAACACTAAGATTGATAACCTATACTGAAAAAAGCTAATTCATAAGCAGCTTAAATTTGAATGAAAATTTGAAAATTCCAGTTAACTATCTAAATTTTCCTGACCTATAAAAAAGAAAAACAATTGCAAAGAGCATAACTTAAAAGTATCGCGAGGAGACAGCACAGTCCTGGATATCAACTCACTGGCGTTGGTCATCAATAAGCACACTCGAGTCATAATACTGCCATACTTATTTAAGTATGGAATAAGAAAGAATACTGAACACAAGACTGGGGAATCATAAATCTATACATATTAATGAACCAAGAAAAACTCAAGGTAAGGTACTTATCAGGAGAATAGTCACTACGACTATATAGCATTTGGAGGGGGGACAAGGATTTAAGATACGACGAAGGAATGATGCCCAACTTTTGCCTTTTGACAGTTGGGAAGTGAATGCCAACTTGCAAGAAGTGAGACTGTTGCTCTACTGTCCAGTCAAGTTAACAAAAGAAATACAAGATTTGTATTTTCTGGATTACAATATACAATAAGAGGGACTGCCAAACCTTCCACATTTGAGTATTAAGGTTCTTTACAGAATTAAGGCTGAAAACTCCACCTCGTACAAACTGAACCCACAAATTGAAATACCGAGGCTTCACAAAACATGAAAATTATGTTTTTGGTTTAACTAAGCAGTTAAGTATGATGGGCATCTCTTTAAATACCATTCCAATAACAAACACGTATAACAACATGAAATATGCTTAATGCCATTTCTGATTCGACATCCTTTTTTCATAATAAACAAATTAACCTGACTGTCACTTTCAAGTACAGTACCACTACATCTACTACCAATACAACAAAAGATAATGCAATTTGTCTTCCAATCTTTTGCACAAACAATCCCTGGAAGACAAAATAACAAAACATTTTTACAGCCACATGTATCAAGTACAATCCATTACAACTTAACCTAAATATGCCTGATGCAAGCAAAACATTTTTATACACAAGACGCACACAAAAACATATGCAACAAAAATTCCATGTTGAAAATAATCTTATTACTCACTAAGCTGGTCTGTAGTAATAGCACACACTGATATACTTAAAATTATGTGACAACTTTCCTGGATATATTCAAAAAATGGTTCAAAGAACACACAAACTAAGAAATTATACCGTTTAAAAAATTAAAAAAATATATATTTCAGGCAACTATAAATTATCACACAATATGGAAACTATTTCCAACAAAGATTAGAGATTTGTTATATCAAACTTGTAATTATTATTGTGTTTTACAAGTGAGCTCTGCTGCCTTCCACTTCATATACAGATTACATCAATCACAAAGTGTCTTTCATATCTTATGCCAAAGAGCTTAACACTAAACAATATCATCATCGTACTTTATTCTCCACTCCACCGTACTACTAGTCCTAATATCAAGCAAGCTATTATTTAATTTTGTGATAAAAACAACGACACATGTTGCTCACATAACCTCAATCTGGTGCCAATATTTCTACTTCATTTAATATGGTAACAAAACTGCCAAAAAAAAATAACTTATCAATACAGTATATCAAAACATGTATGGTTTCATCCAGACATACAAAATCAAGCAATTTTTCTTACATAGTTCATGAAATTCTGAATTATTACAGAAAATTATTTTAAGACATTTCTTTCAATGGAGAGGAACTAATGAAAAACTTGAAGTTAACATGTTACTACAGAGGTTTGTGTAAGCAGCTCATAAAACGTAACTATAAAATCCCTGAATGGTTTACAAGAAGTGGTGACTAGGACCCATATATGCATGAACCATTCAGGAGCGATGAGCACATAATGGGGTCAAGCTAAGTTACAGCACCTTGCTCTAAATATTAAACACATCACAATTGATAGCACTGCGCAAGTAACTCATCACCCATGACCAACTACAACTTCTAAAGAACAGTTTGCTTGCCTTTTAACTGTATATCAATCACAGATGCAAATGCAGCTTAAACCGAATTCTTACATGCGAGTTTATTTGTAAATCTGATGACTGAAGAGCCTGTTATACACAATGTAAATGGTAAGACTTATGAATGGAAAATATATATTAATTTCTTGTCAAACCTTAATAATACATAATTGACCTAGTACATATCAACAAAACATCACAGGTAATGAGAGAATGAAACTGTCTGATACTACCCTCATAATATCAGTCAAATGAAATGAAACACTCATACAATGACAAAACAAAACTGTACAAAAAATAAATATGCTGTATATAGATAAACTGTATAATGAAAATTCCCTGAATAAAAATGAAATGATATGCAGAAAATAAATTCTTAACTTCATATTATTATAAGTAACTTATTTCTATGACTACAGAACCTACACAAAATACTTCAAATGGAAATTAAATTTGCTATTATTCAAACAATAATTTTTATTGTTAATGGCAAATTATTTCCCATTTCCATACAGTACAATAATTCAACTACAAACCTGAATAAGCAAATTATTAGGCTGGTGGTTATTTGAACAGTAGTTTATTTGCGAGGAAGATTCAGCTTGGGCAACCCAATTTGTAATTTGGTAAAAAGAGCATAAACAAAACACCTAGTAAAGGATGGGATACTGCTAAGCATGGCTTCATAAATAACCAACCTATGCATATGAAACCAAACTAATTACATTTCAGGCCATCCTAGATCTTCATCGCCTTATGATCCGATTGAAGGTCCAGAATCTACTGTAACATTATTACAGTACTTTCATTTCGGGTGTGGGGTTGGGTTATTTGTTTCAGCCATGTTATCGTGATTTATTATCTGGCCGGGCACTGATCTTTGCCTTCAGTGTACAAATGCAAACATTAACTTGCTGTTAGTCACAGTATTCCTCATCTGGACAAGCACTGACTGGATTTCATGACACTGTATTACAAGAAAATTATATACACAAATCTTTTAACTCTTTGGGGGGCCAGTATTTCAATAGCCTTATACCCTCTATGAATCCAGTCATTTAATAGCATATTGACTTATTAAACCACTTGTCAAGTAACAATAGCCCAAAATCAGTCCCTGAGGTGAGTAACTCCTTGAAACAGCAATGTGCCATTATATGAATAAACTTAATTGCTTAGAGAATCTGAATTTTTACTGTGTCTGGGCAACAGGTTTTATTCTACCTATAAATATAAGAGAAAAACATAAGGAACAATGAAGTGTTAATTTAGGGAACGTTCTGAGAAACTAGCAGAATAATGTAATCCATTGTCTGTAACAAATTTTAATTTAAAGATGACTTCTTTCATCAGAAACAGGCTCCATTTCTTTGGAATGTTGAAAGCGAACAACATCGTCTTCCAAGGACATCAGTTTGTGTCTGAAACATAAAAGGCCTTACTAATTTATAGCGATATAGAATGTAAATAAAAGAAATTAAACAGCAATGGGGCATATTATAATTCTGTAAATTATGAAAAGGTTTGTTTTATAATGAGTGCATACATCTTATCTTGAGAGATGAGGTTATCTTGAGATGATTTTGGGGCTTAGTGTCCCCGCGGCCCGGTCCTCGACCAGGCCTCCAACCCCAGGAAGCAGCCCGTGACAGCTGACTAACACCCAGGTACCTATTTTACTGCTAGGTAACAGGGGCATAGGGTGAAAGAAACTCTGCCCATTGTTTCTCGCCGGCGCCCGGGATCGAACCCGGGACCGAAAGGATCACACGACCAGTGTGCTGTCCGCTCGGCCGACCGGCTCCCTACATACATACATACATAGTATCTCAAAATTTCCTGTTTAAATACACACACAATTTGATCAAGTGCCCCTCTTTTACTCCCACACAAGAAGTGGAAACGAACAGGACTGGGTGGGTAGCAGTTTAAGAAGACAATTAATAGAACTGGTTGGGTAGCAATTTAAGAATGAACAACTATTTATTTTGCAACAATCAAGTGGAAAGCTTTAAACCTAATTAATGAAACAGTTTATGCACTTATCGAAATGTTTGGCTGCCCAGTGATATTATGGTGTGTGGACTATGCATAAGAAATGAAGTGCTTCTACATTTCAAACCATCTTTTCCAACAATAATTTCCATCTATTACTCTAAGGAACCTTCCATTGTCTCACACAAAAATAGAAATAGGGCAGTGTTCGTGACATTAGATAATGTTTATCAACGAGAACAATTTGTGTATTAATTAAACTAGACCCCAGGCAAGGACTAGGTTGTCAACTAAATGCAAGGGTTATCTTGAGGTTATCTTGAGATGATTTCGGGGTTTAGTGTCCCCGCAGCCCGGTCCTCGACCAGGCCTCCACCCCCAGGAAGCAGCCCGTAGCAGCTATCTAACTCCCAGGTATCTATTTACTGCTAGGTAACAGGGGCATCAGGGTGAAAGAAACATTTTACCCATTTGTCTCCCCCTCCACCGGGGATCGAACCCGGAACCTCAGGATTACAAATCCGAAGCGCTGTCCACCCAGCTGTCAGGGTCAGTAAGTTTTAACAAATTAGGCCGCTCTTGGATGGGGAATCTCTACCACAGGAAGATGTACTGAATAAGGAAGCTACATTTACCATATCTGGCTGGATATTTGTTAACCTCTTGGGTTATAAAATAAGTAGGTGAGGAATTGGCTTTAACTTAAACAGTGCTGTAGTTTCAATTGCATTAGACAGAAACACTAAACCTTACCGATAATAATTTAAAACAGGTTGAAGATGCAAGTTATTTTCCTCGTTCCTGGGCTAGAACAGCCGCAATTTCATCAGATACATCTGGCATGGGAGGCCGCCAGTACTGGAGAGACGAGTACTCGCCCAGGGTCTCCTGATGGGCCACCGGGGGGAACATGTGGTTGGAAATATCACTAAGGTTGGAGTAGCTGTTAAAGAAGAAAACAACTTTAAAACACATCCACCATAAAAAGATAACAGTAATGACAATAAAGATGTATTTTGAGAATCCCAAAAGATCTTTATACATGTATTTAACCACTGTACTGCACAGAGCACCCTAATGTGCTCAGAGTCTGAGAGTTGTGCTATTTTTTTTTTTTAATTAGGATATATTTTAATGTTTTTGAATGTTTTTTAATGTTTTCATCACTCTTGTGTTTTGAAATGAAAATGGTCGAGTTTGGAAACATTTTGACATTAACTTTACCTGAACATTTATATAAAAACAAAAATATGTCCTTGACAATTGCACTATGAAGTTTTTGCTGAAACGAGGTGTGCAGTGCAGCGGTTAAAGTTCAAAATTTTATATTGTATTTTAAGTGCATAGTGTTTCTGCCCAAAATGTTAGGCATGTTAATGGCTTTGCAAGAATGTAAAAATATCATTATGATGTAACCTCACAAACCCATTGTACCTACTTGTAAATAAATAAATAAATAAATAAATAAATAAAAAAAAAAAAAATAAAAAAAAATAACCATTTCTCTTAGCATGCCGAGATTTCCTTAATTACTGTACAGTATATTTGTTCGAAATTTTTTCTTATGGAATGATAAAGCTATCCATTATATTATATATGGCTTGATTTTTTTGTTATTTCAGTTAAAAGTAACCAGAAATCTAATAAAATCTAACCTAACAAAACTGTCAATAATCCATGTTCTTAATACTGTATAATAATTGAATAATATTAATTCAAATAACCAATTTGAAAAGAAACATTTAAAAATACAGTACAGAAAATCACTCAGCCTGTTAGGCAAATTGGGACTTGCATACTAGGCCATGTAGTGCATTCTGGCTATTAGGTACATTATATATATTTAATTAATTATTTTGGGGGACAGGCAGCCAGTGTGTGTTTATAAAAATTAGGCTTATATCGAGGTCCCCCCTCATGAGGTCAAAATTACAGACCCATCCCCCCCAGGATGCAACCCAAAACAGACTGAATCAAAACAGGCGAATTGAAACAGACTACTGCCTGGTTGAAAATGCGACCTATGTCTAAGTATCAAAAGAACTCCTCCACCAAGATACAAACAACCAAAACTTTGTCCAACTAGCCCCCTGCTCGTTAGCTCCACCCCCTATATTGGAAGGGGGGGGGGGGAGACCGACTCGGGTGAGCTGGGCTGCCACCAGCCAGTTCTTGAATGACAAAGGCCGCTGACTGTAGGGAGGGAGGGAGAGTGTCAGAGAGCGTCTGGGGCTCACCCAGAAATTGGCATTTCATTACAGTACATTTAATGGTGCTTTTCTGGGGGAAGCTCCTTGCTGCAAGGTAATGCTGTTTATTTTGTAGTTATGATGTAGACTGCTGTGCTTCACATACAAGCTCTTAACATTTTTCTTTATTAAAAAACATTTGCCAGTCTTCTGACCATTTGTGGAGTTCATGTAGATAGCTCTCTTTGTAGGGCCTTAATATCATTTTCACTTTACCATAAATCTTGGTGTTATCTACACATTCGTTGATGTGGCTTGTAATATTCTCATCTATGCCATTGATGTATTGCATATGACAAAAAGGGGTTGGCTCTGAACTGGACCCTTGTGGCACCTCACTCACCACATTCCTCCAGATTCATTCATTCATTCCCGTTTAGCATGGCTCTTTGTTTTCTTTGTTTTAGCCATTCCAATATTCTACCAATTATTCCATGTGGGTACCTTATCAAAAGCTTTAGCAAAGTCCATGTACAAACACTACAGCGGCTGGAAGTCCTTTGTCTGAATAGCTTGGTTACCGTTCAAAAACTGTAAGCAGGTTTGTAAAACTGGATTTATTTTGAATAAACCCATGGATCATTGATATATTAGATTGTAATCACCCTGTATATGTCTGTACCCTGTATTCGCCTGTGTTCGGTTGTTGTCCTACTTCCATATTTGATCCCTATTCTAGTTCACTGGATTATGGTTAGACTAAACAGTCAAGAAGAGATGGAAAGAGAGAGGGGGGGGAACAAAAGTATAAGACAGAGACAGGGAGATGAGGGAAGAAGGAAGAGGAGCGAAGAGAGGAGAGAGAGAAGGGGGAAGAAATGGATAGAGGAAGGTTTTGGTTCATGGGGTATATGTGGGAAAAGAAGGAACAAGGAGAGGGAGGAAGGGAAGGAAGAAAATGGAAGGCAGATGTTGTCACAATGGGTAGAAACTTATTACTACCCGAGCCACACGAGTATCTCGCATTTTTAGTTTTAGTTATGTATATGTATTTTGTGTTTTTATCTTTGTTAGCTACACCAGTAGTAGTAATTTTGATGATAGTAATCCTCTGTAAAACGTCAGTGACTTAAAGGCAAGCGTACCCGAATTAAATGAACAAATCCACAAGGGCCGTGACGAGGATTCGAACCTGTGACCATGTTGTAGCTCAGTCGATTAAGGCAGCGTCTGGGATGCTCTCGGACACAGGTTTGAATCCTCGTCACAGCCCTCGTGGATTTGTTCATTTGATGCATCATGTAATTATGATTTCTGTGTGTACCCGAATTACCCTGCCAGCACAATTAGATAAGAGGACTCTTGGGCTTGTTTGTAGAAGTGATGGTCGGCATTGGGGTGGCCCCTATATTCACTCGATGCCAATGTTTATGTTTCCCTTGTACAGTGCTAAAGTAAGGTCCCTTAATATTCAATGGTAGTGTGCTGTAAAGATACTGAAGAACTAATGGTTGTATCCAGCAAAGATATTGAACTAATGGTAGTGTGCATTAAAGATATTGAACAGCTAATGGTTGTGTACAGTAGAGATACTGACCATCTAATGGTAATAAAAAAATACTAGACAACTAATGGTAGTGTACAGAAAAGATATTGAACTAACGAGTAAATTGGAAAAAATTTGCAAGTGAACCAGAAATGTTGGAAAACAGAAGTGAAACTTACTGGGTGTGTGGCAAAGCTGTGAACAATACTTTACAATGGCCAAGATGTCCAGAGTCTATATTCGACGCATGGACAATACGCACAATACATTATAAAAAAAACTTACTGAAAATCCAAGTGCACGTGTGCACACAAGAAAGGCCAAGTGGACGAGCACACAAAGGAAGGGCCAAGTGGACGAGCACACAAAGGAAGGGCCAAGAGGACGAGTACACAAAGGAAGGGCCAAGAGGACGAGTACACAAAGGGCCAAGAGGACGAGTGCACAAAGGGCCAAGAGGACGAGCACACAAAGGAAGGGCCAAGTGGACGAGTACACATAGGAAGGGCCAAGTGGACGAGTACACATAGGAAGGGCCAAGTGGACGAGTATACATAGGAAGGGCCTAGTGGACAAGTATACATAGGAAGGGCCAAGTGGACAAGTATACATAGGAAGGGCCAAGTGGACGAGTACACATAGGAAAATCAAAGTGGACAAGTACACACACACACACGTTATGATATTAGCAAAGCTTTTCATGCAATAAACAAAATGCATTGTAAGTTTGAAGAAAACATTAGTTAATTCATTTCAGTTGCAGACACCCGATAAACTCATGATTATAATGAAGCGGTAAACTAGCACTTGTGAGAGTAAAGAAAAGGATTCTGACTGAGAAAGTTACTGCATTTAAGCTTTCTGTTACTCCAGCACATCAGGAAAGAATTGTTGCTTCAGGCGCAGCCCAAAATGCTGAGTGTTAGTGGCTTTACAACAATGTAAAAACACCATTTGAAGTTATGTACTCTCACAAATCCAATGTACCTTCTTGTATCTTTTATTATTATTATTATATATATATATATATATATATATATATATATATATATATATATATATATATATATATATATATATATATATATATATTATATATATATAAAATTGATGTATGTTTCCACATACTGACATACTTTATGTACATAATTAGTATTAAGATAATTTTCTTGTTTTCTTGTTATTAACCATTTCAAGCTAAAAGTAGCTATTAATCAACATCAAAAGAAGCAAAGTAATGAGAGTAAACTGCCAGTTTGCTGGGTATGGAGAAAATGCACTTCAAGGGCAATCACCAACTGGATCACTGGTACATTAATAGGTCTTCAAAAAGATTAGTCAACAGCAGGTAAAATGGGACAAGAGCAAAGGCCAAACAAATTTTGTACCAATTATGCTAGGGATGCATTACAAGCAAGCTGCTCCTCAAGTACTGCCTCAATACCAGGGTGCGCCACGTACGAGACGCTTACCCTATAGATCAACGTCTACTCTGTTGTAGGCCCATACTTGTGCTTGGACCGAGGGACTGTTCTTATCCTGAATCGCACTCGGGTTTTGGAATTCATCTCCCATCACCATTAGGTCCTTCATGAATTTGTATTCAAAATTCATCCAGTTTACCGAACACTTAAACTGTATGGTAACCGTCTAGATTTCCATCTCATTTGTTCTAATTGTGAGTCAAGTGATAATGACCTGATGGATAACCCTCCCAGTCACTATCCACAGTATCAGTGAGTATATCACTGCTGTCATCATCTTCTAAATCACTGTCACTGAGCACTAAGTTGAAACTTTGAGGGACCATAGTTTTTTCAATGAATGGGAAAATTTCATCAACTACTGAGCTTTGTCGTATATAACTGGAAAGACAAACAGTAAGAAGTTAACATTATGTAAGAATTGTGTCACTCTACCTGCAGGCTGTCTTGCCCAACCAAATTGTCTTAAAGTATTTACAAATGTAACAAGTCAAAAATATCAGTGAACCTCTGGTTTGCACAATAACAAATTAAGTCAACTTTAAGTAAACTAGGCAGACAATGGTACTAAACATTAAAAGTAAAACATCATGCATAGTACCAACAATTATATAAAATTCGCTGTATGTCTTGTACTACAAAAACAGATAAAGCAAAGAAATAAAAGTTGTATGCATTGACACCATTTTCAAGGCTAATTGGAAAGGTTTAGTGGGATAATACA